AGTTTCGGGAAGAATTGTCTTTGGTTTTAAACTCAAGAACACAATGGAATAATTTAGTGTCTATGATAGAACGTTTCATCAAATTAAAAAATTGCGTCAAAAAGAGTCTAATAGATTTAAAATCGCCTATTTTGTTTTCAGATGCCGAGTTCGAAATGTTGTCTGCCGAAGGATGCAACTTTGTTATCCGCAGATGCTGCTATTCAATTTATGATGAAATCAATAACTCCATGTTCCGTGTGGATATATAACTCCATGTTCTCATGGAAATATTGGAAACATTTATATGGAAATATTTATATGGAAATATTGAAAATAATGGATATAACTCTATGTTCCCATGAAACCCATGTTCATTAAGTTATGAATTGAAAGCAGCTTTAAAAGTAAGTATTCTTGAAAAAAGAACAGAAATTTCTAATGTTATGCAATATTTACATGATGGAAACTCCAATAAAAATCCAAGTGATGATGAAGCCAATAAAGATTATGAATTATTTCTGATGATTACCAAACCTGTAATCACAAAAGTTATTGTTCTGCAGATACAAGGTCTGAGTGTGGCCTAACTTGCATTATGAAACTGCACCTGTAGCAACGACATCTACTTCAGCCAACGTTTCAAATTCAGATACAAATATACTAATTAATGTCGATGAAGATAAAGATGATTGAAGAAATGAAATATCTCTGACTTTAAAAGAAAAGTTGGAGAAGACAATATCAAAAAAAATTTGTATCAGATTACCTGTGAGTAGAATCGACCAAAACAAAAAGATCTTATACTCTCGATTAAAAAAAAAATGTAATTTTTTGAGACAAATGGCATAAGAGGCAAATACTTTACTTTACTTAACCGACCAGTGTAGAACCAGAGAGAGCTTTTTTCCACAGCTGGATTAATCTGCACCAGTATTTTTTTAAATTAAATAAATTTATATAAATATGCTTTTATTTAATCTGAAAAAGTAACCCAATAATTTAAATGGGCTTTTTATTATTGAACGTTTTAATTGTTTCAAAAACATTTTTCCTTTAATAGAGTTATTGCCATTTTAATATTATTAACAAAAAATATTAAATAATGTTTTGTTTTGTTTTTAGATTATTTAATATTTTTTGTAAAAAAAAGGCAGAGTTTTTATTTTAACAGGATAACTAAACAATGAGAATGTTCATATCAGGCTGTAATGAAAACACATGTTTAGAAAATGAGCATTACATTTATTTTAATTGAAAGTCACTTATCTTCAAGAAAAAATTAATGAACATATGAACATGGTCCATCATCAGCAGTTTGACGTAGCTTTGTCATGATGTTAGAACAGCATTGTACAGCATTGTACATTTATATCAACTTGACAAACACATCTTTTGATTTGGGTAATCAATTGTTTGCAATTCTTGGCTCTCCAGTTGTTTTTGTATACTAATTAACTCTAATATTGTTAGAAATCTGCGACACTAAGGCAAGTTTGTTGGATTGCATATTTTTGGTACATATGGGATGTTTTGGCTTTCCATGAAGACTTGCACTTTTTTGGTATAATGTAATGATGCTTTATTCGCCCAAAACACATAAATGCCATCTGAATGATATTTTTGAAGAAATGTAATCACATCTTGAACTTTGTTATTTTACATTGTTTGTTTTTTATTCATTTTCTTCAACCATTGATACTGGTATACTTCTTGATTAATAACCAAACCACTTGGCCTAAAGCATGGTTCGGAAATTCCACTCTCAGATATGGCAATGTACAGCATCACTTTCTGCTCAAACTTGTATATATATTTAACATAAAAAAATTATACTTTACTTTTGGAGGTGTTGTAGAACTTTTATCTGCATAATATTGATCATTTCCTGGAATTTGTGTTTCGGAGGAGAAGAAGTAACTTTGGTCATTCAAAACAAAACATTTTCTAAAGTATTTTTGCGTCATCTAGCAGCATTGAGATTTCACGGTTGATATTTGTTGCTCAGTGTATTCTGGCACTCTTGTTGTTTTTTTTGGCAGATTGCTTGTTTTTTCAACAATTTGAAAATATTAGGCTGCATACACTTGAACTTTTCTGCAGCATTTGATATATTTAATTATTGTTGTTGAAAAATTTTGAAAAATTCAAAACAAAACATATGATAAGTTTGTAAACTTAGAAGATATAAATTCACATAGGTGTATTTTTCTTTTTTTGACTCTATGTGGTTCGATATGAGAAGGTTAGAAGTATTCCATTTTTTTAGTAATCGCCCATTATGATATTGTTAAAAATATAAAAACAGCAACTTTTTTCAAACTTGTGAAAGTCCATACAAACAACCAAAAACCAAAAGGATACTAAATGTTTGTAAAAATTCATACAATAAACACAAAACCTTGTAAAAATATTTTTGAGAAACATTGCTTCTGTCTACGGCCAATTCCAAGGTGAGCCTCACCTAATCCTGCACTTTGCTTCATGTGCAGCTGTTACTTCAAATTGTAACAATTTCTATCAGAATTTTCACAAGAACAACTCTTATGAGAACAAACTTTTTTTATCATTGCAAGAAATCCATGCAAAAAGATAATGTCTGACGCTAAGACCTGTTGTTTTTATATTTTATCTTAAAAGTTAAATTCTTAGGAATTGAAGAAAATTATTAGTAGTGTATTATTAAGGGCAAGTCTAACATTCTGTCTCTCATAGATGGGTTCTTATTCATTATTATTAATTATTATTAAAGACAAAGATAAAAAAATTTGCAAAGAACATTGCTCTAATTCATCCCTAAATCTAATGACCACACTCTTCTTGTAATCCTAAAGAAACATGTTAACCCCTTGTTAAATATCTATCCTTGTTAAAATTCTCCAGAATTATAGGGTTGATTAAAGTAATGTAGGATTTTTTTCAAAAAGTTTATTAAAAGTTAATTTTTAATTCCGTTAGTAGGATAGACCGGTGCTCTGTAGCCTTTGAGGTCTGTAGCCCTAATGGCAAAACTTTTTGTAAATATTAAAGCACAGTCTTAAAGAGTATGAACTTAGATAACATTTTTAACTTGCATTCATTATAAAAAAAAAAAGTTAGCCAACTTACCCCATTTCAGGGTAGGTTGGCCAAACTGTAACAAAGATTGTTAATGAACTATTAAATGCAAATTTTATAGAAATTTTTTTAATATTTATTTTGGCAACAATTTTAAGCCAAAAATTTAATATTACTTTTAGCTGGTATCAAATATTAGTACTTATAACAGCCAAAACAGTAGCCCACTTATCTGCAAAAAAACCTTAAAAAAATTTTTTTTTTTCTGTAAAAATAAAATTTTTAAATATCGTTAAAAATAAAAAAAAATTAATTTTAAAAAATTTATATTTTTTCCCATAGTAAATGCTACGAGCCAACTAACCCCGTGAAAATTTTGCCAACTTACCCCAAAAGCCTTTTTTTCAATAAACATTCAATAGATCCTGAAAAACGACAGCTATTGAAAAAAAGTCTTATTGGAAATAGTAAACCAATTATGACTGGAGTTTTTTACAATAATAACTTTTTTTTAAAAGACTAACTATTTTCTTTGTAAAGTAAAAAGGAAGGGATGTTCCAAAAGTTAGATTTTTGTCCAAAAAACACATAAATCCTAATCTCCCATGTGGATGCACAAATCCTAACAATACTGTGTAATTTTTGTCACTTTCTGATGAAAGACTCTGAAGATAAAAGCAGTTCGTCAACTTACCCCTGCTGCCTACTAGCCCCGGTCTCCCCTAATTTCAACAATATATACACAATCATTGACTATGGCCAATCATTAACCTATTGCCAACACAGAGACAAAGAGCAAATGCTAATGACATAAAATTCATTAGACTTTAAATAAAAGAAATGATAGAGGAGCAGTTTCTTTTTACCATCATTGTTTATAAGCTTTTATTGTACAAGTTGTCTCAAATAATCTGTTGGTGCTAGTTAAAAGCCTATAGTGAATGAGGCCACACTTCCTGGCTAAGCTTTAATAATTTTTACAATGCCAATTTTGCTATGAAAGAACAGGCATTGTCAAAGTTTTCCAATTTAAGACCAGGCATTGTCATAAAAGAAACTTTGTTTTTCTTACAATTATAAGCAAGATATTTTGACTTTACCTCTAGCATATCACCTTGAGAATATCCAACAACTTATTCTCTAGCATATCACCTTGAGAATGTCCAACAACTTATTTTCTAGCATATCACCTTGAGAATATCCAACAACTTATTCTCTAGCATATCACCTTGAGAATATCCAACAACTTATTCTCTAGCATATCACCTTGAGAATATCCAACAACTTATTCTCTAGCATATCACCTTGAGAATATCCAACAACTTATTCTCTAGCATATCACCTTGAGAATATCCAACAACTTATTCTCTAGCATATCACCTTGAGAATGTCCAACAACTTATTCTCTAGCATATCACCTTGAGAATATCCAACAACTTATTCTCTAGCATATCACCTTGACAACTTATTCTCTAGTGATCAAAACAGATTTTGATCCTTTTATTCTACTGCTAAATTATTGCACAATAAAAAGAATTATTGCACAATAAATAGAATGAGTAATATTATTGATATTAGATAGATATATCTTTGCTTTCTATTTATATTTGCTTATATTTATAATTTCCATCTTAAATGGTTTGCATTACAGTCTTTTTTGAAGTAAATTATTCAGTAAAAAAAAATTATAAAAATAAAAACAACCTTAGAACAACAATTTTATAAAACAAGCGAAAAATCAAAATTTTTAATTTTTATATTAACATTATAGCCAGAAAAACATTAAGAAGTCATTATAAATATGCCTCCATACATAGTCAAAAATATGCCTCCATACATACTCAAAAATATGCCTCCATACATAATCAAAAATATGCAATAAATAACAATGATAATAAAGATTACAACATATACATTGTTTAATAAAAAATTAAGAATATTTTTAAAAATAAAAAAAAACTCACTGAAGATTCACTTAACTCAAACTGACTTCCTTGTCGTCTTACTTCTCTAAGATAACGCTCCTACAAATAAATTTATATTTATATTTAAATTAAATTAAAAAATTTAACATGCTCAGTGAGATAATGTCAGTGTATGTCATGTTTTTATCATTTTTCTTTGAAATATGCCAACACAGAAAGTTGTGTGTAATGTCATTATAAACCCTATTCAAAGTTTTTATTCAAATTATCAGATAAAACATGATAGTAATTTAATAGAGCATCAATTTAAGCAGATAAAAATACTAAAGAACTTTTTTCATGCACCAAAGTAGAAATAAAATAATTTTTAATTTCTGGCACCATTTTCTCAAAGAATGTAAAAAGCTTCCTTGTGGTTTAATAACCAGTTTTCTTTACCCTTTATCTAAATAGTTTAAAATCACATTAGAATTTTCTAAATTTTAATTAAAAATAAACCAAAAGTTTAATATATATATCAGGGGCTATTTTAGACCATTTTCGACGGCATCAACTGTATTTGGGTGCCAATTTGGGCACCCAAATTAAAATTTGAGGACCTTTTTTTTTTACGGCAAGTATTGTTTTTTTTGCAAAAAAAATGTTGATTTTGCGCTAAAGTCTGCCAAAACAAGGGGGTACTGCCGCCCAAATTTTTTTTCTAGAATAGACCCTGTATATATATATATATATATATATATATATATCTGTGTGTGTGTGTGTGTGTGTGTGTGTGTGTGTGTGTGTGTGTGTGTGTGTGTGTGTGTGTGTGTGTGTGTGTGTGTGTAAGATGAGAAAATTAACTAATACAATATGTTTGTTTTTATACTAAAATTTTATCTTTATAAAAATGAAGTTATATACTAATGTACTATGAACCATAACAGCTACACTGCATTGTCTACTAGTTTATTTGAAAAATAAAATATTATTAGATTTTTAACGACTAAATGAAAGAGAAGAGAATGAAGGAAGGAAGGAGAGTGAATATACTGACACATGACAGGTTAGGGTGTGACAGGTAGGCAGGTTAGGGTGTGGGCAGGTTGTATCAATAAATTATTGATATCACTACCAAAAACAAATATTTTTTCTTTTATGTATACTAGTAATGGGTGATAACTAAAAATTGAGAATAATTATAACCAACTAAAATCAAACCGCAAAAGTCAAAAAAAGAAAAGTACGCCTATGTGAAACTATACTCTCTCTGTTTACAAACTTGCCATATGTTTTGTTTTACATCAGCTAATTCAGTTGTGTTTAAAATGCCGCCAAAACAAGATGTACATTGCAAAGTTCTATCAAATGCACAAAAATCTTGGAAAAAAGTTTACTATGAATCATTCTAAAACCGATAATGTTCCAGTTTCAACTATTTACCATATTTTGGCTTCCTTAACATTCAATCGTAAAAGTGGTAGATGAAGACCAGCTAAAATAATGAACAAGAAGGGACTTCATTTGCTTCACCTTGCTTTCGACAACAATGATTCAATAAGTCAATGAGATGCTGCAGAAAAGTTCAAGTGTACGCAGCCTTATATCTGAAATCATTGAAAAAACAAGGAATAGTCTGCCGAAAAAAATTAAGAGCACAGGAATACACTGAGCAACAAATATTAACTGTGAAATCTCAATGCCCCTGGATGACCCGAAAGTTACTTCCCCCTCTCCAAAATGCAAGTTTCAGGGAATGATCAATATTATGCAGATAAAAGTTCTACAACATCTACAAAAGTAAAATACAAATATAAACACAAGTTTGAGCAGAAAGTGATGCTGTACATTGCCATATCTGAGAGGGGAATTTCCAAGCCATTGTTTATGCCAAGTGGTTTGGCTATTAATCAAAAAGTATACCAAAATCAATGTTTGAAGAAAATATTTATTCCATTTCTTCAAAAATATCATTCAGATAGCAATTACTTTATTTGGCCGGATAAAGCATCATCGCATTATGCCAAAAAAAACAAGTCTTCTTTGAAAGCCAAAACATCCCATTATTATCAAAAAACTGCAATCCAACAAACTTGCCTCAGTGTTGCCTAATTGAATATTTTTTTGGATATTTGAGTTTGTTAGTATACAAAAACAAGTGGAGAGCTAAGAATTGCAAACAATTGATTACCCGAATCAAAAGATGCATTCATCAAATGTCAAACTGCTGATGATGGGCCATATTTGAATGTTCATTAATTTTTTCTTAAAGATAAGTGATGTACCTTCAATTAAAATAAATATAATTTTCTTTTTCTAAACATTTATTTTTATTATAGCCCGATATGAAATTCTCATTTTATAGTTATCACACATTATATACAACCATCAGAAAAAAAAATTAAAGCAGATTTTTATGTTTTATTTCAATATGGTTAAAAAACAATAGGTAAAGAAATGTAATGTTTTTAAAGCATTTTTTTGTTTGGCACATTTTAGCAACTTACTTGGATATTGACTAAATATGTGATATTTAAGCCTAAATTAATTAATTGAATTCAAATGTGGCAATCAAGAACTGTGAAAAACAAATAAAGATAAATATAAAATATAAATATAAGTAAATAGTTTCAAATAACAACTGGTTTGAAAAGAAAAATGAAAATATTTTAAAAAAATGCCTTATTTTTTTTTTTTTTTAATTTTCTAAATTGCTTCTGGCAATTTATTTGATATGATAAAAGTCACAACTAGTTTAGTTTAGTTGATGAGTAGGTAAGAGCCACAACTAGTAGTTTAAATAATGAGTTGGTAAGAGTCACAACTAGTAGTTAGTTGATGAGTTGGTGAGAGTCACAACTAGTAGTTTAGTTGATGAGTTGGTAAGAGTCACAACTAGTAGCTTAGTTGATGAGTTGGTAAGAGTCACAACTAGTAGTTAGTTGATGAGTTGGTGAGAGTCACAACTAGAAGCTTAGTTGATGAGTTGGTAAGAATCACAACTAGTGGTTTAAATGATGAGTCAGTAAATGATGAGTCAGTAAATGATGAGTCAGTAAATGATGAGTCAGTAAGTGATGAGTCAGTAAATGATGAGTCAGTAAATGATGAGTCAGTAAATGATGAGTCAGTAAATGATGAGTCAGTAAATGATGAGTCAGTAAATGATGAGTCAGTATGAGTTGCAACTTTTTATTAAATAAAAATCTATAACCTTCTCAGGACACATATCTTGACAACAGCCCTTAAATGACTTGGTACGTTTGAGAATATCTTGAAGACCTATTACAAAAAGTATTATTTTAAAAAGTACTCATAAAAATTATTTAAATATTTCATAAAAAATTTATCCTCTTCATATACATTGTCATAAAAATGAGGATAGAAAAATGATGGATCGCCCAGTGATGGAGTGGTTAAATATATTTGATTATAAACAAATATAAATTGAAAACAGGAATTGCCCAGTGATAGAGTGGTTAAATTCATTTGATTACAAATATTAATTTAAATACTTTAATTCAAAATTTGTAGTTTCAAATTAGAATACAAATTTAGAATTTTTTAAATTATTAAATTATTTTATCAAATATAAATTTAAATAACACGAATACAAATATATAGTTATTTTACCTTTTCTTATACTTTTATCAATTGCATCAAGAAATTCAAACTTTTCAGAAGAAGTGATACGTTTTGTCTGAGATAACTTGTCAGCAAGCTTTTGTAAAGAAAGATTCATTTGAGAAGTCTGCACCGCCTAATAAGATATAAAAGTTTCAACTAAAACAACAATTTTGTACATTATTCTAATTTTATTTACATGAAATAATTTTGCAAGTTCAATATTTTTCACATAAACAAAAACCTTCTTTTAAACATCTACCAGTGGCTTTAATGTTTGTAAATATTTCTGGTGTTTAAAAAAAATACTGTTAAGTAAAAAATTAAATAATTTTTCCAGACGTGCTATGGATTACTTTAAATCAATAATTTTGCAGCACTTTTTTGTGCTGCATTTTTACAGACATTGTCTACTAATGTGATAATACACACTTGTAATAATACCAGCCAAAGCATTCTTTAAAACTCCTGCTTGGTGGCATCTGAGTTAATTTGGCATCTCCTAGTTTTTGCAGTCACTCCTGTTCGGTGGCAACTACGCTCTTTTATTTATGTTCTATAATGTTCATTTTTTTGAATATCTGAGTTGAAAGATTTATTATATAAATACTGCAGTCAGTCTGGAAAATTTAAATATCTGTGTTGAAAGATTTATTGTATACATACTACAGTCAGTCTACAATTTCGGAAACATTAAATGAAGCAATTATAAGGAGAGAAGGTTATTTTATAACCCTCTCTCAACTCTATAACTTTGTAACACAAACCTTGACGATCAAGGCTGCTGTGCTTAGAAATAAGTTGAGCGCGGTACAATGGGAAGTGTTGGGGATCGAACTTGGAACCTCTCGCTTATGAAGCAAGCGCTCTACCACTACACCACTACAGCTTATGCAATCTTTTTTCATTTATAAATTAGACCATTCAAACAATAATAAATGATTTTAATTATTATGACTCTAATTATCATTAACTGACTCCTGAAGTTGTTAAGCAAATCAGGGTTGCCACTATAATTTTTAAAGTTTTTCCCTGAGTTTTCCCTGAGTAAAGAACGTTTTTCCCTGAGTTGAACTCTTTAAGTTCCCTGAGTTTTCCCTGAGTTTTCTATATTCTTTCCTGTTCATCAACAAGATTATTATTTTCCTTAAATAAACACAATCTTTATACTTGACAAATTAAAACTTTTATAACAATCTTATAAATTAAATTTTTTTAAAAAAAAAATTATTTTATTGAAAAAAAAAATTATTTTATTGAAAAAAAAAATTATTGTACAAAATTTCAAAAAAAAAAATATTTTCCCTGAGTTTTCCCTGAATTTTATAAAAGTTTTAAAAAATCCCTGATTTTTCCAGGTTTTCCCTGGATTTCGTGCTATTTCCAGGTATTCCAGGTTGATTGGCAATCCTGCAAATGGTCAGCTTTTATGAGGATGATAGTATACAGAAGGTTATTAGATAATATATACTGTATATATTACAAAAGATTATATTAGCATAAAAGGTTCTTTCTGAACTTTACCATAAACAGAAATAATCAAATTTTAATATAACTAAGGTAGAAATCATTTGCATAAAGGCCACAACACTATATAACAGATAGAAAATCTGGTACACACTACCTGTGTTTGTATCCACAGCCAAAATCCAAACTTTAAAGCTTTAAAGCATTAAAAAGTTAATGAAAGCTAAAAGATCTGATGGCATTAGCCATATATTCATTAGAAAATGAAGCATTTATCATGAGTGAAGTGAAGTTAAGAAAAATTAAAAAAAATAAAATACCTGGCAGTGGATACACTTAACAAAATAAGTTATATGCAATGATTAAAAAAACTGGTAGGCGCTCCTTAAAAACAACATTTAAAAGCCCTGATAAGTTTATAGAAGCACTAATGAAGTTTCTAGAAGAGTTAACAAACAACTTATATGAAACATTATGTCAGCAGATCTCAGACAATTTTTAAAGCAGCTCAAGAAAACCTGAATCATTTCTGATATTATACATTTGTATTATATGTGAGATCTTTAAATGAACACAAAATCTAAATAAAAAATCATTGAAAAGCAAATGTTGTTGTATTTTATCCAGGATTGGCATTAAAAACCTGCCCAAAAAATCCCGCCCAATAAACCTTGGCAATCTGGGTTTTATTGCGTTTTTTTAAAGAAATTTTATAATTTTTAGAACTATTATAACAAATATTAAGATTATAACTAATATATTATTAACTAAATTATTAACTAATTAATTATTAACTAAATTATTGTTAACTATTATTATTAATAGTTAAAAATAAAATAGATAAATCAGAGAAGATTTACTAATATTTGATTTATAATCATTATTTGGAAATACATTATCACAATTTTATCAAAATTTTATTTAAATGTTTTTACAGATTAAGATTGATTGTCATTTTTTTATCTCTTATGTTATTCACCTCCCAAAGCTAAGAAGTATTTTTTATGTTATTCACCTCCCAAAGCTAAGAAGTATTTTTTATGTTACTCACCTCCCAAAGCTAAGAAGTATTTTTTATGTTATTCACCTCCCAAAGCTAAGAAGTATTTTTTATGTTACTCACCTCCCAAAGCTAAGAAGTATTTTTTATGTTATTCACCTCCCAAAGCTAAGAAGTATTTTTTATGTTACTCACCTCCCAAAGCTAAGAAGTATTTTTTATGTTATTCACCTCCCAAAGCTAAGAAGTATTTTTTATGTTATTCACCTCCCAAAGCTAAGAAGTATTTTTTATGTTATTCACTTCCCAAAGCTAAGAAGTATTTTTTATGTTATTCACCTCCCAAAGCTAAGAAGTATTTTTTATGTTATTCACCTCCCAAAGCTAAGAAGTATTTTTTATGTTATTCACCTCCCAAAGCTAAGAAGTATTTTTTATGTTATTCACCTCCCAAAGCTACGAAGGCCACTACAGTTGAAGAGGCTACCTTATTGTGGTTACAACCCTCACTCAACTCTTTAACTGCAAAACAAGAATTTTTATGAACAAGGTCGATGCATGAAGAAACTAGTTTGTTTTGTAGAGGAAGGATGTAAATGGGAGGAATTAAATGAAGTTTCAATTGAACTTCAGTTCCTCCCATTCTCCAGCCTTCTTTTTTCCATTTCTCGTTGACATTTTTAATTATAAAAATTATTACTTTTTAATCTAAAATAAATCAATACATATAGATCTAACATGAACTTTTTTTTATTACAGTTTTGATTAATGAAAAAATCTTTTTTTAATTAATTTGAAAAACTCTTATTGTAAATTTTTAAATTACATACAAAATATATTTTTAATAAAGTTAAAATAAAAAATTATATTAATTTTCAATATCATTACAAGAAAAGAAAATTAAACAGATGCAAAATAAAAATAAAACCCAAAAAAATCCAAATTTACCCAAAAAAAAACCATCTGGGCCAGGTTTGTTTAAAAAACCCTGGTTTTATCTGACAATCTGCTACACAATATCAAGACAACCTTTGGTTATGTTTCAAAAATCAATTTTGAAAGAAGAATATGCAAAAGTTTAAAAAATCCTGGATCTTGAAATAAAATTAAACAAATGTTTATTTTTATTAAACAAACTCTATTTGAATATTATATAACATAACATCAATTAAATGAACATAAAATACTCATTAATTGTATCAGTTAAATGAACATATAACAGAATATAACATATTAATAAAAATATTGGGCTTTAAAAGAAGTGAAATTATATAAAAATTTAAAAATTATTATTACTTTATACAAAAATTATTTTATTATTTTTAATAGAAAATAATTTTTTCAACAATTTCACTTACTTTAAGACCCAAAATACTTTTGAAACTTTACAAAAATAAATTTAAAAAATATTTAAATTGGACTTATATATACATATACATATACATATACATATACATATATATATATATATATATACATATACATATATATATATATATATATATATATATATATATATATATATATACACACATACATATATATATACACATATACATATATATATATATATATATATATATATATATATATATATATATATATATATATATATATATATATATATATATATATATATATATATATATATATATATATATATAAATATATATATATATATATATATATAATTAATTATATACCATAGTAGATACAGCAGGTTTAGCAGGTCTTTTTATTATAGATTGTTTTATTGGAACACTGACATCATCATTTAATAGTGGATCTATAAAAGGATTGGTTTGAAATACAACCGGACCAATTTTTGATGAATCAGCTAGAAAAAAAGTTAGATTTTATTATAATAAATATAAACTTAATGACTGTTGACAATATATATTATTGAAATGTTAAATTTTGGACCAATTAAGTACAAAGTTGATTTAGAAATTAATTGAAACATTTACTGATATGTTGGCAGCACCTTGAATCTAATGTTCAATTTTATAAATAATGTACTTATACAAAGTTTGAAAAAAACTAAAACCTAAAAAAAAATTTTTAAGAAAAAAAAAAGTTCTGAACAATCTTTTTTATGATAAAATTAATATCTAGTATTATTTTATCCAGTATTTATCAAGATTGTGTATATATTTTACAAGGGTGTGAAGTCGTAAAATAAAAGGACAAACTCCGACTCCAACTCCAATTGTTGGAATTTTTAGAGTATGACTTCCACTCCAACTACAAAGCAAAATTTTTAAAAAATTCTTTAAAAAAATATTATGCAATAATCTAAATTTTTTTTTTTTGCTAAATGTATGAAAATTTCTTTGAAGGTTAAATATTTTGCACGTGCAAAACTGAGAAGTTTTAATATTGGAGTAGGATTTTTGTTTAGCGACTCCAACTCCATAGCCCTGATATTTTAGCGTCTTAATTTTTACTAACTCATCTCTATTTTTGTACTTTCATTTAATTGTTTATCTCTGAACACTAAAATGATTTGTGTGAATAAATCAACCAGTAGCAGTTACAACAATACTAATTTTTAACAATTTTACCATAAAAAAAGTAAAATTTAGAGTAATTAATGTTCTATTAATAATATTTTCTTTCTTTTATTAAAATTACACTAAATATTAATTTTGTAAAAATTAATATTTAGCGCAATAATTTTTAAAGTAAACTTTTCTACTTGCCATGTTTTCTAGTCGTATCGTAGTTTACTGTCTTGCAATATAGTGCTGATTGTCTGGTACATTTGTAAGTAAGTTGTAACATAACACTATGAAATAACATAGAAAAAGATAAAGTTCAATCAATAAAAAGTTTTTATTGATGGAACAAGTAATAATCAAGCTCTCTTGAACAACAAACATGGTAGTAATTGCAGAAAAGAAAAAGAGTTTAGAAAAAAAGAAAAAGAACTTATCATTTTATCAGCTAAATTCAATTTTTATGTTGTAGGTTCTTATTTATGCTGTAGGTTTTAAACTCAAAAAATAGATTTTGTAAGCATGATATGTTGGAGTTATAAGGTCAATTAATTTGGGTTCTCAAACTGGTATATTAGTGTCAAAATCAACATGGATATGCCACTGATATATATCATACAATGTTAGCGCAAAAATATGAATTTAATGCGGCTGATTTATAGGTACAAGATATTTTATGTAATTTAATAAAATTATCAATATGGTAGCAAATTATAACTTTGTTATCAAATTTCAAAGCATGCAACAATCAGATAGAGGCTCATGGCAATCATGCAACAATCAGATAGAGCTTAGGCTAGAGCAGATCCAACAAAAATTAAAATGTGGTTTTAAACGTCTAAAAGAAAGTGAGAACATTAGAAGAACAAGCCCAAATATGAAAATGCTGTTCATGCAAGAAAAAAATAAGATTTATAAAAATAAAAAAATCAGAAGTGAGAAAGCGACCAGAACAATAAAAATAGGCATTCTTAGCAGGTGTTAACATTGCAATTGATTATATATATGATTTCCATGAATGGTCAGTAGTAAAGATAATTAGAGTATAGTACTTAAGTAAAAAGTGTTGTCATTCATCAATAGAGGAATATCAACAATTTTACAGTAACTATTAACAGTAAACAAGTAAGTTCTATTTGAGTTTAAATACACCAGCCACTATGTCAAAAAAAAACAGATTCAAGATCTGTTGCCTGTTTTAAGCAATTGAAAAATTATGAATTTTTGTTAAAACTGAAGTTGTACCATCAGCAATCAGAGTGACTTTGAAGGTAAGGACTTAATGAATATCTTTAATAAAAATTAACAAAATATCTTTAATTAAATTATAATATTATTATTTAAACTTTTGTAAGTTTAATTATCTACCAATGTAGATAATTAAACTTACAAAAATTCAAATTATCATATATAAACAATGAACAGTAAACAATAATAAACAACCTATTGAGCATCACTTATCAACACAATTGCCATTAAGCAACAGCAAAAAAAGAAGTGTGAAAAAAATGTTAATATTTATGGCATTAAAGAATCTACAAAGTTATCAGATGCAGATAAGCAAGTCGACCAGGACCAGTTATCGTTGAACTATCTGATGTTTTTGAAAAGGGGGAATTTTTTATGTTTCAATAAAAGTATTTTTTTTTTTTAATTTCAGTTTATAAAACCAAACTAATACTTTTTAAAAAACACCCATAAAACTATTTAATTCTAGCGTTTATGGTCAAATGCACATTTTTAACAGCTGTTTTATCATAATTTCAATAGGATTTAATATGGTGATATAAGTTTTATACTTTGGTGAGAAATAAACCAAATAAAAGCTCCTTTTCAACAATTCAAGATTCACTAGGTCAACGATTTTTAAAGTCTGTTTACAGTGAAAGTTTTTGTTTTTATCAGTGACTGAAATAAATATTTTCTTATTTTTAAAAGGGCAATTTTTACTGATTTTTTATTTTAGTTTTAATAAAAAATAAAAAATTAATAAATAGGGGGGGGGGAGGTCTTAACAAGCTTGAGGTGGGTGGGAAAATTTCACTAAAATAAATAAATGTTCCCCTTCCTTTTATTAAGGACTGGAGAGTAACTTATCCTAATATATTAAGAAGGTAATTTTTCCTAATATGTTAAAAAAATAATCTATTCTAATATTCAATCGCTCAATTGTATATGTCGAGTTTTATTTTATTGTTAGTATGTAGGATAACATATTTGGTTTTCTCCAAAATAATTTGATGTATGTGGGAAGAATCAATACTAATTTACTAAATATATTTCAGACCTATGGCACATAAATACATTTTGATGTTCTGTATTCAGAACTTAAAATAAAATATATAAAATGTCTAGATTCTGGATATATTTTGTATGGTATTTCAGTGTACCGATTATTTGCATAATTCATGAATTAACTAAAGAATTTAATACAGGATTTTTAAAGCGATTAAAAGATTGGATGAAGATGATTGGAATCATATCAATCAACTACAACAACACTCTAACAGCAGAAAGATTTACCAGCAATGTTAAAGACTATAAATAAGGACAGTAATGGTAATTTACTAACATTATTAGCGTGTCCGGGGGGAAATGGCAAGTTTAGCCTTTACTCTTTTTAAAAAAAAGTATTTATGTTTACTTGAAAAATAAATACTAAGGATTTGTATATAGAAAATTATGTATATATTTATATTCCTTTGCGTACTTTATGACATTTTTTTTTTTTGATTTTGCGTTTCTGTAATTTTTACTTCAAATAAAATTGAAAGTGAAAGAATAATTCTTTATTAAAGACTTCAGTTTTCAAGGCAATAAAAATAAAGATTTTAGATTTTTAAAAGTAAAGGTCTGGATTTTTCAACTACAAGCTATTTTTACTAGAATCTTTAAACTGTTTTTTCAAAACAAAACCTGGAAATAGTAATCAACTAAAGTTCACAAAATAGAAATGCATAAGAAAATTTTCAGGTTTTTTTCAATTATTTTTTTTAAATTGGTTTAGTAAAGGAACCAATGAACTCTAATGATTTATTTATTTAATTTTAAACAAATTACCTTTGTTATAACCTCCTAAATTAAGTTTAATATTAACTTTAGCTACCAAAATGTTGTCAGAAACAGCAACCTACAAGAATATTTTGGATTTTTAAAAATAAATGATGGCATTATTGTGTCAAATATCCTGATTTTATGTTAACTAATAGCCACTTGAAATTTGCAAAAAAAAAAAAGATAAATATAACTTAACTTGCAAAGTCTTTCATAAATTTTTACTACTGTGTGTTTAATATGTCTAGACTGATGCTTATTAAGTACTTGAAAAAGTTCAAAGATTATGTTGCAAAATTAAATCGAGCAAAAAATTTAGACTTAACAAAAGATTTTTTAACCTCTGTTGTATCTTTTAATTATACTTTTTCTGATGTTGTTGGTTTGTCACCTGATGCTTGTTCTACCCCTACTTCTATCCACAATAGTGAAATTGTTCTGAATCAAGTTATTGTTTTTGTATCTTCTAATTTAAACTTACTAATTGCTGATGATGATTTTTCATGTTACCCCAACTTCTATTGTATACATCCCTTTAAAAAAATGTTTCTGTAAATTTTCATTTTGAAACACAAGTTAATAAAGAGAATCTCCCAGTTTCCAATTTGGATAAAAAACTACCTATATTATCTGGTGATTTGACCTATCAAATAAAAAAATACAAACAGAGAATTAATCATCTTAAACTACAAAATAGATAAATTAATAGAAGATGTAAATAATATAAAAGAAAATATCAAGCAATCTTGTCAAAATATAATGTCAGAAATATCAAGAAAAGAGAAGTTAGAAAGGAAATTGAAAAAAAAATAAATAAAACAACGTATTAAAAACATCTGATGAAACGAATGATTTAATCTTAAAAGAGAGTTTAAGTTACTTTAAAAATCTTTTAGAAGAGCTGAAGGAAAGAGTTTACTTTTTTGAAAAAAATATAATTGAAGTTTTTGAAGGAGGTAGATATAATGATAAAATTCTCTCTGTGTATTATGACTTTTTAAGTAAAAATGTTTCTGTTAATAATGTTGAATCTGTTATCAGAACTGTACTACAAAAAATAGCTTGAATTTCATGTGGTACACTTCCAAAAAAATCTTCGGCTGCTGAATTTTTTATTAAAATGAACCTTTTATCAAAAGCTCAAGTTAGAGAGGCTATGTTGAATAGTACACACAATGTTCTTCATATAGATGGCATAAGTGTATAACTTTACAGGGATTGGTAGTTTTAAAGTCATAACATCATCTGGTAGCTACGCATTTAGGATAGAAGATATGTTTTCAGGCGAGGCACAATCTTAATTTAGAGAGCTAAAAAATTTACTCACTGATATGTCTCCAGCATGCCAATCTTTATCAAAAACTTTAGAAATGTCAAGAGCAATAGCCTTAACCTATCCACATCTATCTAATGCACGATAACACCTATTGGTTATCAGTGTTAGCAAATCAGCTGTAGAATAAAAAGATAGAAATCCATAGTGATGTTCAGAAAGTAAGTTATTAGACTTAAGGTTAAGTGTTTGTTAATTAAAAACTCAAAAACCTTGTTTATGATTAGACAATTAGATATATCTAGCTTCTTCAAAAACATCAATTACATATTACAAATTAAAATTTCTTTATTTGATAGGCCAAATCACCAGATAATATAGGTAGTTTTTTATCCAAATTGAAAACTGGGAAATTCTCTTTATTAAATTGTGTTTTAATAAGAAAGTTTTTAGAACCATTTCCTAAAGGGATGTATACAATAGAATTTGGGGTAACAGAGCATGAAAAATCATCATAAGCAATTTCCAAATAAATAAAAAAAATCAAGATACAAAAAACAGCAATTTGATTTGGAACAATTTCACTATTGTGGATAAAAGTAGGGTAGAACAAGCATCAGAAGGTAACAAACCAACTACACCAGAAAAAGCATCATTAAAAGAGAAAACAGAGCTTAAAAACCTTTTGTTAAGTCACGCAAGATTTTTGTTTTTTTACACCTTTATTCAAGGAAACCACTGCAACAAGGAAGCCATTGCAAGCAACCACTTTTAAAGTAGGAAGTTATTGGAAGAGCCTAGATGAAGTTTATATAGCTAGATAACAATTAACAGACAACTTAAAAGATTGCAAATTATATGAATTAGGAAAACAAGATGAACGGAGCAAATTCTAAAGAACTAATGTTTGATGAAAAAAACTAGATAAATAAGTATTTTTGGAGCACTTAGGAACAATAATATAATAAAATATTGTATACAAATCCTAACTTGCAATGGTTTGTATATAAGGTTTCTATAAGAGGTCAGTAAGAAGAGATAATCAGAGACAATGTAAAGAAAATGACACAGTAACAGTGTTTCTATTCATCAATTTAGGAATAACAATAGCATTGTGAAGACATTATAAAGACTTTGCCAGATACAACATATGAAGAAAGCTTATGGGTAAGTTCATCATACCAGACTCTATCAAAAGCCTTTGATATCCAGAGCAGTAGAATTTGCCTCACCACCTCTATCTAATGCTATGTAGAACCGTTCTGTAATAACAGTTAGTAAGTCAGCTCTAAAACAAGATGATTGAAATCCATTTGTTTCTTATGTCATCTGCAAACTTTAGGCTTTTCAGGATAATCATAGTTTTGGTTAAAAGTTAACCCATCACATTGTGACACTAGTGTGAATAAGGAGTGCTTAATGCCACAGGGTCTGTGTGTTTTGTGATTGTGTAACCTTCTCGATGGTGTCTATTGTTAAAAATGATTATTAGATTATTTACTTACTGAAACTTGCTTACTGAAACTTAACTTTTTTCATTTATTAATTTAATTTTTTTTTTTTTATTATAAATTATTTAACAAAATAATTTATAATTTAAACAAAAAAAATTAACAAAATATTTTTAACACGTTATTGTGTATCTGTATTTCTAATAATAATTTTTTTACACTTTTAGTTATAGTTTCTGCTGTTATACCTACCTATTGCTGTTGTAAATACTCCAAATTTTAGAAAGCTCATTTTCATTAAAAATTAAATTTTAACTAAAATAGGTCATTCTGAATAATTTCAACAGATTTTAATGCCCTTACACAATAATTTACTGATCGGTCAGTTTTTTACTTATTCACTTAGTTTTCCAAAACTAAGTGAATAAGTAAAAAACTCTCAGTCTGTAAAATAGATTATATAATATATATAATATAATAGTGCTGTACACTTAAAGAGTGATGAGTCCAAACTACGTAGAGTTTGTAACTTTAACAGCTGTAACACACTAACATACAAACATAATAAAACTTAGTATCTAAAATGTTCATCCAATTTTTTTTTGAACTGGTTGATACTGACTGCGTCTATTGTTTCTTGTTCAAGATTGTTCCAGTCGTTTACTACTCTATTTGTGAAAAAATTATGTCGTTTTATATTTCCTGTATATTGCCTTCTCAGTTTACTATTGTGACCTCTAGTCTTATATCCGTTATCTAGCATTTCGGGTTTTGTGTAAAAATTTTATTGTGGTCTCTCCAATTTAAAAAAAAAATTGAATCATTATGGAAATTTTAAGTCAAATGCAATAAAAGTTCAAATACATTTAAAGTCGATATGCCAATTGGTTTGTGCAGCCTTTTTGCAGTAATTTACTGACCAGTCTGTAAATTAAACAATAATTTAAGTCAAATCAAGCTCTATACAATGATATAAATTATATATGATTATTTAAATTAAAAAAAAAAAAAGCTTTCTATTTCCATATGCAGCAACTATTAAATATTACTAGTTTCTGTTAGTAATCTGTAAATATTAAGATGAGAATGGGGTAAGTATAAAACTATTATTGTTTCTTGTATTAGACCATAAAAAAATTCACCAACTGAAAAATAAAAAAAACTTTAAATGTTAAACATTTATACATGCTAACCTTTGTATGTTGTTTCAGTAAAACTAGATGGCACATGAATGGAAGCAGGTTTTTGCATTTTCTTAGATTGAGAACTAATTAATGTTTTTCCTGAAAATGGATTATTTTGGATTTTAAAATCAACTTGTTTTTTTGAATTTTCTGTCGATTGAATATTGACAACATTGTTTCTCTCAAGAAACGGGTTAAAAATTTGTTTATTAGTTGAGTCGTCATAACTTTTTTTAAAATTTTCTAAATTAGCAGAAGTCTCCTCTTCCTTAAAAAATGGGTTTATAAACCTTTTATTTTCTTCCTTATCAACATTGGAAAGTAAAGTGTCGCTTTTATTTATACTCTGAAGGCTTGCTTTTTCAAAAACGGTTGATACAGATGATTCAAAAAACGGATTTGACATATTCCAGTGTTTCAATAATAGTTTATCTTGCTAAAAATCAAAATAAATTTTCAATATTAATCTATATAAAATAAATTCTATAGTTATTAATTCAAAAAAAAATGAATATAAAACTAAACGGAGAAAATTAATGAACTTTTTTGTAACTTGATTAAAGCGCTCAATCATTAAATTTGTTATCGTAAAGCGCTCAATCATTAAATTTGTTATTGTTAGCGTAATTATTAAGTTCTTTCACTAAAATATTCCACTGATCTCAAAATAATAACTCAAAATAATTATTATTTTGAGATCAGGAAGAATATGCATTAAATGGAATCAAATCAAATTTATTATTATTTACAATGTTTGACTAAACTTGATTTCTTGTGGGTTTGTTCGTCCAGTTAGAATCTTTGAAGCTATATTTAACCTACTTCCCAACTAGCTAGAGCTCTAAAACTTTCAGGATAACTCAGAACCCAATGACAATGCAATTTAAAATCATTTTTAAACTTCAGCAGTCAATATTTCTCTCAATTTTAACAAAATAAAATTTTATATGCAGAAAAAATAAATTGCGACTTTAGTGAGTACTTAAGGAAAAAACCCGTTTTTTTCAAAATTTTCTTTGTTAATTATTTATAATGAATGAGCTCAATACTTTTGCAATTCTTTTGTTACATAATTTTGACTAATTATATAAATTATATACGTAATTCTAACTAATTATATAATTTGTAACGGACAAAAAATATTTATAATAATTTAGCACTCGCATTAAACAAAAATTTAGTAGACAAATAAATAATAAATAGTGTAAATGTTAAAAATAGTTATTGCGATAACCAAACAAATCTAAAAAGTAAAAAATAATTTACAATAAAAAATTAATTTTTCTAAAAACAACGTTTTTCAAGCGAACTAAAAAGTAGAAAATAATTTTTCTTTGTGCTTGTCAGAATGTCTGATTATATACGTCATATAATGATGACAGATTTTATAACAAATTTGATACACGTAAAATGAAAAACAGTAATTATTACTATTCTAAGGCAAGTTTTCAGTTTAAATTAGAATGGGAAAAGGTAACAGTTTGATCAAAAATGAGAATGCTTAAAGCATCTCATTTAACATGGCATCATGGAGCGTGTTAAACAAATAAAGAGATCAAAAAGGTTATTTCCGATTTCTTAAAGGATCCGGTTATGACTCCAAACACATAACTATTGCTCATTCGATAAACTTTGAAAGAACAGTCAAGTTTCAGTCAGCTTTATTGTGACTTAATTTTGCAAATTAAGTCACAATAAAGCTGACTGGAAACCCCGACGGATCCGTCAAAAGCCTACAGAACTGTGAAAACTGAAAGTACTGCAAACGTATGGCCTCACTTATACTAACTCATATCCATAAGCGGAACCGTCTAGAGTGGGAAAACAGCATGTAATCTAAAATGATTCCAAATGGGGAAAAGTCATATTTTTGGACAAAAAAAAAATTAATTTAGACGGCCTAGATGGACTATGATGTAGTCCATCTAGGCTGGATGGTCTTTAATACTAAGATGGAAATTAATACTTAGGTGGACTAGATGATTAGACACCTAATTCAAAATATGCTATTAGCATAATTTAAGGTAGGAAAAGCAGTTTTTCCAAGCGTCAATCAGGCTGTGGATCCATCATGGTTAGGGGTGGTTTTAGCATGGAAGGAAAATTTGAATTAGCGATATTGGAAAGAAATTAAGGTTTGGAAAAATACAATGATACTCGTTCTGAGTATTTGCTAAACTTGGTTCATTTAAATTACAGTGTTGACTTCCCTTTCCGGCAGGATAAAGCAAGCATTCATTCCTTATATGTGACATAAGCATTCATTCCTTATATGTGACATAAGAGTGGCTTGAAGAAATGAATATTGAAGTAATTGACTGGCTATCCAAATCCCCTGACTTGAATTCTATTGGAAACTGTATGGGGGTCATTGTTCGAAAGGTTTACCGCCAGGAAAGAAATTTGGATTGAAAAATCAGATGACTGTTGCAGTTAAAAATGCTTAGAACGAAATTGATATCAGCTCACTTCAACGTCTGGTTTCTTTAATGCAACGTTGATGCATTGTTGCAAGATAAATATTTGATCGTTGATGCAAGATAAAAATTTGAATATTATTCGTTTTCAGAATTATACCTCAATCTTTTAGCCTCACTGAAGTTTAATTTGAAAGTGTGCTAACTTTAATTTCCGCTCTATAGAGCATTTTTCGTGGAAATTTTCAAAGATATATATATAAAAAACGACTGAAGTTTTATATACTTACCTTAACATTATTATTCGATAAAATTTTAGGCGTCTAAAATGCCCTATTGGCTGCTAAAATTAAAATTTTGTAGGGTGGGTGGTGGTAGGGTGCTTGTAGGGTGGGTTATCATTATTGCCAGCATAAGTATAATGTGATTTTGAATTTACAATAATTTATTTTGGAAACGCTGTTTATAATGCTTATTGAGCAAAGAATCTAAGCCTAGTTAACATCTTGAGATTTATCTCAAGATGTTAACTAGGCTTGCGATTCTTTGCTCAATATTTTTAGTTTTTAGTTTTTTTGGTTTATTATTTCTGTGCATTGACTCATCTTTTTGATTACTCAGAAGTCATTACGTGGTAAAAAATTATTAGAACTATGAATAAATATACTAACGCGTTCACCAGCGTGGGATTCATATGGCTGATGTATAAATACAGAATCTGACAATTTTATAATGGTAATTATATGTTTGTTTGTTTATATGTGTGTAAATAATTGTATATGTATTTATGGGTGAATATTTATATTTGTATTACTAAACAATAGTTTTTTATTTAAAATCTGTTTAGGCGGTTCTCGATGACAAGGTCTTATGATCTTTTTCGAGTATCCGTGTTCTTACTGTAAAGTTTACAAAATTCGTAATTCTTATTTTATGTATTTTATTCATTTTTTTATTGTAAAACTTATTTTGAAAAAATAAAAAGAACAATAAAAAAAAAATAAATGATTTTAAAAAGATAGAATAAAACTGGATCAAACCGCACACTATATCATTCCGCAAGCTGATCGAAATTATACTATAAAAAAAAAGATTCAAATACATAATTATCTCCTCTATTTGAATTGATTAAATTATATGTCGATTCAACTCATTTTTTTCTTTTTTTATACAATTTTAACTGGGAGTCAAAGTATTTTACATATTTTTTCTCGTTGCGAACAAAATAGCGCTTGAACCAAAACTGATATAAAAATAATTTTAGCACTATCTTGTTGGAAATTTAATTTTATATCTGATAGTATAATTTTTATGCAGCTAGAACAAGTGACTAAGCCCACTGTGGAAAATAGTACTACCATAAATGTCTTTTGCTCAAATTTCAATTTCACTCCAGAAAACTTTAATTTTTTTAATAGTTTAATAGTTAATCTTTACTGTAATTCAAAGATTTTATGTAAAAAGTTAACTTTTAAAGCCCTACTGTTTCATATTTTTGTAAATGTTCAATTGAAACTTATTTGCTTCATCACTTTAAAAGTTATTTTTTATAAAACTTTTTATGAATAAGTATAAAGTGTTATGGGGAAGATGGGGGCGCATTGATCGCCGTTGCAGTATTTTGAAAAGTGCAAACAACCCGATCTAGATATAAAAACTTATTAATTACTAAACTAAACTAGAACAATCTGTATTTAAGTAAAATTAAATGTTTTAATAAAAAACATTAATGAACATTGGATATTTCAACATTACAACAGTCCTTGCAAAAGATCAATGTACCCCATGCAATGGGGTACTATGATCTCCGATATGGGGCGCTTTGATCTTATATGAGTAACATTATTTACATGTTTAATACTGCTATACCTAAGTGCTAGAAATGCATTAGTTGAAGGGTATTAGTGTATATTATATAATACATCTAAAAAAAAAAAGTAAAATTTAAATTATATAATATATATATATATATATATATATATATTTATATATATATATATATATATATATATATATATATATATATATATATATATATATATATATATATATATGTATATATATAAATATATGTATATATATACATATTATTACAACCTAATACACACCAGTGTATAAAGTTTACATTAGAAGAATAACCACAATTCTATCTATGAAAATAAGCCCATTATATACTACTAACATTTATATGTGTTAAGTTTTACAAAACTTGAAGCTTATAAAGTCTATAAGAATACAGTATTTTAAGTTTACAAAGAAAATACAAGATTCATACAAGACTTTTAATTAGAACTAAAGTTTACAAGATTATTTTTTTATATTATCACCCTTTGTCAAAGTCAAGTCGTGATGCTGCTTTTACATTACATTGTTTTTTGTTCCTAAGCAAGTAGTTTTTAAATTTTCCCCTTTTTTTATCTTTTGCGATGAGTTTCTTTTGTTGGTTGATTTGTTTTAAGGTTTTCTTTTCTTCTGGCAAACGAATTTCATTTCTGATTGGAGTATCAGTCAAAATCCTTGTTTTTAATTGCCTACTTTTAACACTTCTTTTTCTAGCAGATTATTTCGGGTAAGGTTTCAAAACTTCAGGTGAGAGTAATGAAGCAATGCTTGGTGACACTTTGTTCAAAAAACTTGTTTTATGATGTACTACAGGCATTTCAGGCTCCATGCCATCAACATGTGCTACAGTCATTTCAGGTTGCACAAGAATTGTGTTTACATTTGGAGCAGCACGATCTGTAACTGATGATGGTAAATATTCATTATCTTTAAAAATTTCTGGATTAAATGGCTCAATGCCAGCTACTTGAAATCCTCTCTATATATTAGATGGTGAGAAAGCTTTTGTATATGGTTCGCGAACTATTGAAACAATATCATAAATGGTCATAGGTCTTGGATTTGTGACCATCCAATTATCTCACGCAGCATTGTAAAACCTTTTTAATGGTCCAAAAACAGTTCTATCCAATGGTTGCAGTTTATGGGTACAATGGGGAGGAAAACTTAGCATTGTAATTCCATGTT